TTTGTTGGGAACACTTCAGGAGTAAAATCCTGAATGCATGTGGAGGAGTGCACATAATAAAAATTGCAACAATTGTTGACGTCGGTGCTAGACGTGGGGGAGTGCACATCACACGAATAGGTAGATTAATTAAGATTTGTGAAAAAAAATAAGGGAAAAAATAAAAAATTCATAAAACTACAAAATTGTCCACATTAGTGTCAACTGTATCACGCGGGAAGCCGACATCCACATCAGCAATTGCCGACCAAAATTGACCGGAAGGATTACATTGGCAAATCGTCAAAAGATTTAAAACTAAATTGGCTAAACTGAAAAGTTGATGACTGAATTAGCATCCATAGAATAAGTTTAGAAATTTTTTGATAATTTTCCCGTACTCAAAAAGTACAAGCCTATCCTAGTATGCCAAACTTGGCGAATGCCTTAGGTAAGTTGGCAAAAGATTTTGAACAAGCTCTTACCAAAATTAATCTCATTTTTCCGTAACGCGGTAGTCCATCTTACACGGTCAAATTAAAGAAAAATGTCGTATCGATTGCATATCATGTTCGAGTTTTGATTTGCTTGATATATTAAGTTACCGTGTACTCGAAAAGTACATGTATATCGTAGGATGCCAAACTTGGCGAATGCCTTGGGTAAGTTGGCAAAAGATTTTGAACAAATCCTTACCAAAATCAATCTCATTTTCCGTAGCGGGGAAATCCATCTTAAATGGGCGGATTATGATCTCATAAAATGCTTCACTAAAGCGGTAACTTAATAGATCAGGCAAATCATAACTCGAACTTGCCGTGTAATTTATACGACATTGTTCTTTAATTCATCGCTAACATTCCTTCCCAACGCCAAAAAAAAAATAATTGCCATAAAAATCTGAAAAATCAAGGATTGTGATGATCTTCAAGATTGTGATGTTCATGCATCCGCTCATCTTGTGGACGTGCTTGTTTCTTCCCCTGCATTATCATTATCACTTGGCAAATTCTTCACGGCACAATGTGTGAATTATATCTTCCTTTTTTTTCAAATCGAACGTAGCAAATATAGAAACAAAAATAAAAACCCAATTTCGTTTTTCTTTCTTGTCAATTATTTGCAGAGACGTATTCAATTGGAACTCGAAAATCCTAGACCTAAATCGATGACTCAACGAGGGGGCAACGTGAGGACAACTTGAGGACCAGAAGGTGACCCACACGACATGGAATTGGAATCGCGTGAGAACCTTCGACGAAATATGTCGGGCGTATATGACAAGTGCAATGATTTCGGAACACTATAGAGACGAGACATCAATTAATGTAATTTATGGGGAAGGAAACTGAATTTTGGTAGGTCGATTTTATTTTCTTGGCAAAAATAAAAAGAGGGTCCTGTTTTTTTTTACACAATCTACGCATGCCGAATATACATTGTTATTTCGAAAAAAAAATATACATAATTATCCTCTAATTATAAATTTTAAATTACTCTCATCCCACAATTATTCGAGTTCATTTCTCCAAATGATTCATATCTTTTGGGCTAATCTCGAGATTGCAATTTTCTTTATTGTTAATATGATTCTCATGATCAAAAGGGGAAGTAAATTTTATTTTATTTTTCTTTATTTGGAAAATTGCCATTCTTATTAGGAGCTTTTTGGCGCGAGCAGAATTTCTCGCCCTGGATTTGGTATGTATGTCCGGAAGGAATATTCAGTTTGGATCCAATGGGTAAAGATTAGTGGTGTCAAGATGGGTTGAACGAAAACCCTTTTTTGCAAGAATGAACGATTTAGAAAATCGTGAAAATTAAATTATGATTTTACATGTCAATTTTTGTTGACTTATTGATTTTAGGAGATGTCGGATACTTCATTGTAAAAGTCGAAAAATTTACAATAAAGAAAAAAATCGTAAACAAGTCGAAAATCTTATTTTGAACCTTATAAAACTACTAAATATTTTATCTTTTACACACTATATGCAGAGCATAAAAGTTCTTGTTTTTAATATTTATGTGTTTTAGTAATGTGGGTCTGGTCATGTACGGGTTGGTTACGGATGGGGTCGGATATGGGTCACTGAATTTGTATTGCATATAAATCGGTCAAAACGGATTAAATGGGTTAATTTTGATCGGAACATTTTCAACCCTATCCAAACTTGATATGACCCACCCATTTTGGGCGGTGGGCAATCGACAAGGGGTGGCGGCGGCTCTGTGTGGCGGCCGGCGAGAATGAGTGATGAAAAGAGGTTTTATTTCTCTTTTTCTTTTGGAAATAAAAAAAGTAGAAATTTTTTTTCTATTCTAAACCTATTTTTAGACTAAAAATTTGTTCTAAAAATAGAAAAATAAAATTGCGTTACAAAACGGATTTCTGTTCCAATCATGTTATCGGAAACAGAAAAATAGAAAAACAGATAAACATAATAATTATCATGCGCGCCCTTGACGGCCCTAGTAAATAATATCACTGACTATGTAACTTCTTATCTTAGGCCCGGCTCATCTTATGGCGCATCGGATGGATCTCGTCCCACGAGATCCTCGACATTCAAAGGTTGCGATTGAGCCAGGAAATTTCTTGCCAGGAAATTTCTTGCCTGGAACCTATTCCAGCTTATCAGATTAATCACAACCGTTCATTTTATAGATCTTATGCGGGCTCCGCTCATAGGTCTTACAAGATCGGTTGCTGTGATCGCACCCGAATTACGACTTGGGTCCAAGTAAAAGCTCTCCTCCAAGCCATGCCCAGAAGTAGATACTCCATTAACTCCACTCACTGCAAATGTTACCAGGTGTTTGCAGGAGCATTGAAGAACCCACTTTATTGTGATTGTGTCCGGCTACCGAAAGAGGTCGGTCCATCAGGACTACTTAATGCCTGGGATGCCCCAAGTCCAAGGAGAACACTGCTCGTAAATGCCACTTGGAGGGAAATGATCTATCTGAACCGATTTCTTTTCCCTGAGGAGTAAATTTTGCAGTCTATTACTGTCTGTCCTTAGCCTCCAAAATCTTCTTGTGCTTAGTTTCACGAAGTAAAAGATATTCAGTCTTTGAATGTATAGATTGTGAGATCTTTGAGTGATTGGAGACGCCATTGGTGGTGGAGTGCAACCGTGATGACCCCGCCACTGCAAGTGCAAGCCCCGGTTGATCCACTTTTTACAAGATCTTTCGTCATTTAGCAGGCTCTTTTAAGAATGAGGGGCAAAGCTTGCACTTTTAGGTAACCCTTACGAAATAAATGAAGAATGAGGACAAGGGGGCATTAGCCCTCTCAAAGGATGAGGATGTACTAAACATGCTGTTTTACCTTGGAATGAGCAAAGCTTTATTGGGACTCTGATCTCCTCCGTGCAGTTATAATTTCACCCTTTTGACCATCCCTCCTTAAAACCTCCTCTCCGGCCTTTGCTTCTCCACTCTCCATTCACCTCTCCCTCTCTCTCTCTCTGATGGAGGAAAACAGGAGAGAAATGAGAATTGTGAAAGGGCTTTTGAGATTGCTCACAATGCTTGCATTGTTTGGTTCGGTGGCTCATGGGGATCCTCTTGTGCCTGCACTGTGCATCTTTGGGGACTCGGTGGTAGATGCAGGCAACAACAACAATCTCTACACACTTGTCAAGGCCAACTTCCCCCCTTATGGAAGAGACTTCGCCTCTCACCAACCAACTGGCAGGTTTTGCAATGGAAAGCTTGCCACAGATTTCACCGGTACTCAAAACAAAATTCAGCTTCTCTCTCTCTCTCTCTCTCTCTCTCTCTTTCCGAGAGAGACCAGACACAAACATGAGCTAATAGTTTGTATGTTTTGCCATGGACAGCCGAGAACCTCGGATTCACTTCCTACCAACCAGCTTACCTTAGCCGCGAAGCTACCGGGAAAAACCTCTTGATTGGAGCCAACTTTGCCTCGGCTGCTTCTGGCTATTACGACGGGACGGCCCAGACATATGTGAGTGCTGGCTTCAATAGTCACTTGTCTCCAACATGCAAGCTTGTGTCTTTCCCTTGCGAAAAGATACTTATTTGCTGAGTGGACTGTTTTTGGTTGGTAATTGCAGCAAGCTATTTCACTGCCTCAGCAGCTGAACTACTACGAGGACTGGCAAGGCAAAGTGGTGAGTTTGGTGGGGAGGAGCAAAGCCAACGCCATATTTTCAGGGGCGATCCACCTTCTGAGCGCGGGGAGCAGTGACTTCATTCAGAACTACTACATCGATCCCCTTCTCAATGGAGCTTACGCGCCAGACCAATTCTCTGACATTCTCATGACTTCTTACTCCAATTTCATCCAGGTCTCTTCATGACATGAACCATACATTTTACTCTCTCTCTCTCATACACAAACATAAAACTTACTCTCCACACACATACAAACATAAAACTTAGACCAGAGAGAGAAAGAAATAATCTCTAACAATTTTTACAAACTCGTATTATATACTGATTAATCACCAAAGTACAGCAAGCGTCAGGAAAACCTTTCGTTTTCTGTTTCTTTTTCTACGAGACAACTTATAGGAAACTCATTTATGAAAGGAGGCATCTTTTATACACAATTGGAAATACTTTTATAACACAAAAATCACCTTTAGCAGAATCTCTATGGACTGGGTGCGAGGAGGATTGGAGTGACAAGCCTACCCCCAACTGGATGTTTGCCAGCAGCCAGAACTCTCTTTGGATCAGGAAGCGACCAGTGCGTAGCAAGATTGAACCAAGAAGCGGTTTTGTTCAATAAAAAACTAAACAGCACATCTCAGAGCTTGCAGAACAGGCTCCCAGGTCTCAAACTTGTGGTCTTCGACATCTACCAGCCCCTCTTGGACATGGTCACAAAACCTGCTGAGAACGGTAAGCTACTCACTACTGAGGGCAAGATCTCCATACTCTGCATAATCCATTACCATACATTGTAAGTTCATTTAAACATTCCTGAATATGTGAGCCATTCATCTGTATGAACAGACTACCTGAAAGTTGACTTAAAATAAAGTATGTGACCTCGTGATAAAGCATAGAGAATGTATATTTTCCATCACATTAATGTTATTGTCTCATCATCAGTCTCTGTACCCACTGCATGAGAACATGAGATGCATTGCAATGCCAGGCCAACTGACAGTGAAGGCCGAACCTACTTTTCATTGTTGAATTGGTCTCTTGTTACAGGGTTCTTTGAATCTAGGAAGGCTTGCTGTGGAACGGGTACTGTGGAAACATCCTTGCTTTGCAATGCAAGGTCCATTGGAACTTGCACAAATGCTACTGGTTATGTTTTTTGGGATGGATTCCATCCCTCTGAAGCTGCTAACATGGCCCTGGCAGGAGACCTCCTTTCTCAAGGATTCTCTCTTATTTCTTGAGTGTCGAAAGCATCGGTATTGCAGCTACGATAATTTATAGTAGCCTTTTCCTCTTGAAAATGAGGATATCGGGGCATATATAAGGAACTCTGATGACTTTAGTTAAAAAGATTTTGTCTGCATTAAATTGTATGTGGATCCGAATTTCCAATATACTTCAAGTGTTAATGGCTTTTAGTGGCAACAGTTGCTTGATGCTTCTTCCAAATATAAAATCCTCCGTGCTTTCTTCCCTTACATGTAAGGGGACTAATAATGATTGTTTAACCCTGGCAATGTCATATTGACGTGATGATATGTACAAGAACATGCCAAAAGAGAAGCAGCAACGGTAAATTAGTGGGATAAGCAGCTATCCTATCCAATTCTATTTCTTGGTGTATGGTAGATTGTGTTTTTGAAGTAGTTCTTTCATAGCAACTTCTACAAAGGAGAGGAAAACGTTCTCTGTCTACTTACCCTTACAATTAGATATTATTTCACTTTACCTTATCAGTACAACCCATTCCTAGCCTACTTAAGCATAAACTATTGTTTCAAAATGATAAGAATGATGTGCAGGTGTAATCATCTGCAGTCGTAGACCACGCATGATCAATGTAACAAGAGAAAATAAAAATTAACCCCATGCCCAATGCCAATCAATCTATTGGTAAAGTGGGACCATTAATTATATAATAAAGCACTCAAATATTCACCGCCTCTTGCCAAGCTAAACCACTAAGATGCGCAGATCACAAAAAGAGTAATTACCAGAAGCAGCAGTGTGGATAGAAAGCTGCTAAGAAAGTTCGAACCCTGTGTTGGAACTAATCGCGTAAAGAAGCTTTGATCTCATCGTGCTTGCACGCTTGTATGTGGGAAGCTGCAGCCAATGAAAAGATACTGGTTGCTATAAATTACATAGTTTGTAGTGTAAGGAAGTTAAAGTTGGTCCCTTCAAGAGTTGTACACGTGCAGAATCAAAAAAGGAATTTGCTCCCAGTCTATCTACCTTCAAGGTATTGTAGCATGTGGAAGCAGATGGAAGTCTCTCCACATCCTGACCTCCAATTGTTGCCCAGACAGGTACATCACAAGCAACCTGCATAACATACGATATTAAAAATTAGATTTTCCCTTCTATATATGATTTCGATAATAGTCCCTCACAATTAATTTCTTCGATCAGGCATCTACCAAGAAACACAACCATGATAAACCCAAATCAACCAGGGAGTCGGAAGGATCAAATCTTTGCTCGTGTTTGACCTCAAGTTGGATAAAAAGAAGCATCAATTTTTTGGATAATCAATAATCAGCTTTCCTGGTGCAAGTCCAGTTACTTTTTTCAAGCAGATCAGAAGATAGTTGCTGTAACAAACTTGCTCATGCTCATGGGTGTAGAGTTCCCATTTGTTTTAATTAGGCTAACAGCATTAACAACAGTAAGAACGGGATCATAAACCTCTAAACCTAATGTTCATGCCATTCTGCCCTCTGTTCTGCTTTCTGAAGGAACTAGTTTCACATCTCCTAATGCATGAGTTCACATATTGAAGTCTGGCCAGAGTCATATGTATGCAGTCTTGCATCTGCGTAACAGAGAGGCTATTAAATGACCTTAACTTTTTGTTTTTTTTTTTTTGGACATAATGACCCTAACTTTTGACCTCCCTATTAAATTGGAGCAACTTGCTGTTGTGCCAAGGCTCCAGCCATAAGTTGCTCTACCTCTAACATATCTAGATAGATAATCCCTTCATTCTATACATAAAATGCAAACTATATAGTATGTTAAGCTCAAATATTTCGTAATTGCCAACGCCAAACCTTTGTAGAAGCACCACATCTACCACTGTGTAGCAATACGCATGACATGATTACAATTGCCAGTGAAAATTGAAGGAATCGTTCACATATAATCAAGAAAAAGTTCAGAACTTTTATGCGAAACATTTTGCAGGCATCTTGAGTTCATAGACATTTGAACCAGAAGAAGATGCATAAACATGGTAGGTCTACTCTTCAAACACGCTCAAGCTAAGTTATCTCTTTTCCACTCACATGCCATCACCAAACTTCAGCTAAATTCAATGTTATGGAAGTTCAGTTTAGAGAGGATAAAGAGAATATGATAAGCAAGATCGCCCCGACGTAAGCGACATGAATCACAGGACTTGGAATAGGAATCAACCAGAGTTCTTTTGACTAACATATTCATCTCATGCTTATTTCGGAACATTACAAGCTTATGGCTACTTCATAGCTATAGCTGCTTCCATTTCGTGGCATAGCATTCGTGTCCAAACACACATTGAAGTTTTTGTGGAATTTTTATTTGTCAACGTATTTTGTTGCCTCTTCCATTCCATGAAGAAACAAAAGACAAAGGAACAAGATCTTGCAAACAAAACTATTAATCAAGAGGCAAATACCACATGGAAACAACCGGATCACAAGCAAGACTTATGAATTGTAAAAGTTGGCCGCAAGTGTTTAAACCCCAGTAAAGGAGCTCGAGAACAACTTGTCACGAACTTAAGAAGCATGCACCGCTCCTTTGGCTCAAATCCTTTCATTACCTGCAGCAAAAATTTAGGAAAAACAAAACTATTTTAATTTTAAATATAAAACAACTGCTTAGAAAGTAAGGCAGAATGCTTGTCCTGTGCATGATTACAGCTTGAAAAAAAAAATCAAATCATTTTACCATTACATCAAAGCAGAAAATCAGGTGAATATCAAATTCTATACAGCATTCCACAGATACAAAAAGCTTGAAGAAGATCTCTTCCATCTATGCAATAGCATTGACACTAATGCTAATAAACATCGATGTTTGACTAGCAAAGATTCAACTAGAATAATCAGTGGGTTTTATTGTAATCCTCAAGGCTCGTGTATTGGTGTCCTACAACTAATACTAGTTGTAACTGAGGAGATTGTAATCCAGGGGAAGACAAAAGGAAATATTGGATAGACGCTACCATATTCTCTTACTGTCAGGAATAACTCAGGAAGTTCAGGAAAATGTCCCTGTATATTTCTTTAAGGAGCTGCATCATATAGAAAATTTATGCACTCTGAATCAATTGGAAGAAAAATCACAGGTACTTTACGTAATAAAATCCATGTATAGAACATTAAATTTTCCACAAAAAAGAGGAAAAGAATTTGAGTTTCCCGTCAGTTGAATTACCTAAGGCCTAAACTATACATTACAGGTAAAACAGTAGCTGCCAGCCATCTGATTCCACTGGTACATACATCTATCATATTGAAGCCTTAGTGCAGCAGTACTAATACCAACCCTCCTTCGCTCAGTCTGTTCCTTCATTTCTTCCTTAAAGAGAAGGAAAGGTGGCTCCTATAGGCCTATGGACAAAGTCAACCATTAAGAACAGATGACTGAGAAGCCAATGTGCACAAACTGACTGAATGAGGATACATGCCATCCCCATGCAAAAGCTAAGAATCAGTATTGAGAAAAAAGTATCATAACTCCGTACTAAGCTTTGAAAAAGCAAATAAACAGACATAGGTAAATGCAAAATATGCAGTATCATTATACAGGACAAAGGGGAAACACTATCTGAATGTAAACGGCTTCCTTTGCAGTTCATATACCTCCCAGAAAAGTTTTACTGTCCGGCTTCCCTCAGAATAACCACCAGTATAGCGTGTATTACTTCTCAAATCGTCGACATCAATATCATGGTATCCACCAGAAAGCAACTGTGCCAATACATCAAATATCAGTATTTCTTTAACATAGGAACAATGAAAACCTAGATTATGACGAAAAGGAATATGTCTTTTTTTTTTTTTTTTTTTTTTTTTGGTAAAGACGAAAAGGAATATGTCAAACAGCTAACAAAACAAGATATCTCAAAATCAGTGTGCTCCAGTTATCCATGAGCAGTTTGGACTCAACAGTATGGTGACAATCTTTTCAATCTAGGATAATATATTAATATGCAAAAAGAGGCAACTCGGCTGTCTTAAGCAATAAAAACTCTACGAAAGACAAAAAACTGCCATGATAGAAGAACTACTTAAGTCAGTTCATGGAGGCCCACAGCAGCTTAAAATATCCATGACACAACAGAACAGTTCAAATGAGTCAGGTGACGGGAAGATACCTGATTAAATTCAGTTGCGTTAAATAACTTAAGCCACGATGGTGATATAAGATCAGTTAACCCTCTGTAGAAAGCATTTGCAAATGCCAATATCTACAATTTGGCAAGAACGGAGAGTTAAATCTAGTATACAAAATGGAAACTTAAGTACAACGTACAAACGTATGATTCACCTGCCGATTAAGTTTATAATCTGCAATTGCATGAATATACTGCATCTTGTTCTCATTTGTCACGCAGATATCCCTGCCACCTGGTCTGAGTTCAATAACACGATTTTTACCAAAAGATTCCTCTGTAATTGTAAAATCCAGAGAGAGTTCCTTTACATCACCATCGAAGTGCTGTCGAAGTCACACCAACCAAGTATCATACAAAGTTGATTCTAATAAATAGATAGAACAAATTACCAGCAAAACAACATAATCTAGTGTACAACTAACACAGAAAATTTAAATTCAACTTTTTAAGCTCTCCAAAATCCTATCTGCAGAAGGTTAGATCAGATGATAGAAGAGGACAGCCAAGTTTCAAGAAAACCAGAACACACAAAATAATAGGTGAAGTCTCCCATGCGTCATTGTAGTATCATTGGTCTACCCCGCTATCCTTCACATTCTCTACTTTTAATGCTAGATCATTATACCAATTTCTCTTGGTTATTTTGATCACCTTTCCTCCCTAGCACTCACCTTGCCAAATTCGTGCGCCCAATGGTTGGGGTCAGCACATTCTTCTGCCTTTTTCCATTTTCCACACCATCTTTCGCTCACCATCACACACACGTCCGCCACCTTCCGTCTCTCCTTCATTGCCACGCATATTTCCTTGCCACATGCCCACACCACCAAGCTGCCACTTTCTTTCTTCCTTCTCATGCCACGCCATCTACATTCACCCGCAGCCGCCTCCTCATTCTCCTCTTCTTGCCACGTCAATTCATCCTTGCCACATGCTAGCCATCACTCCACAGCCTTGTTTGACATGCAAAGGGAAGGAACACAATTTCCCAATTTTCCTCTCAGCATTTTGTCCCACCGAATCCTTCTTGGTCTTATGCTTAGTCTTTCTTTCCCCGACAAACAACCACAACCCGTCCACTCCTTCCGATCAACTAGTTGCCGGACTGCCAAAAAATCCTTGTTGCACTGGAGAATTTTGCCGTTCGTGAGTTGAAGGATACAACCGGGAGCGAGGACTCTCTGTTTTCAAGCCTAAACCAGTACCACGCCACATCGACACTTGAGGCAAGTGAAATTCTGCCTCCCTATATTAGATCGGAATGGGTTGCATGATGAGTTGGGCGTAAGTTTAGGGTATTGATGGAAATGGATGGTAGTGATGGAAATTAGCTTATGGTTTTGGGTGTTTTTGAACACCAAACTCGTGGGGATCAAGTATTGAGTGGTTCTTGAACTTGGGTGTGATTCCCAGACTTGGTTTTTGCTGGACCTTCATCGCTTTCCGATTTTGTAGAGATTTTTGTGGTCCAAATCTTGCAAAACTTCCTTCATGAAAGTTATTCAAAACATCTGCGTGTATAACAAATTTTAATTCCAGAATTTTAAAAGTTGTTTTGGGCAGCAGGAAGGCCTAATCTCCAACCCGTGCTAAACTACCCGGGTGCACTGTTTCAGTGACCTTCTAATGTTCTTGAATTTTTTATAAAATTCTCAAGAAGGATTCCGAACAAACTCCCTTGAAAAAATTTCTTGTGGACGTCTTCCTCTAGAACATATTTAAATTTGAGAATTTTTGGAGATTATTTGGGTACTGAACTGAGCTCATCTTGAGAGGTAAGGATTCTGTTCCAATGAACAGTTTTTTGTCTGACTTTAAGCTCCCGAACGAGGAATTTACAGAAATAATTAGACTTTGAATCCTTCATGAAAATTGTTTATCAAGGTGTCCTCTATGACATATTCAAAATTTATAATTTTTGAAGTTCATTTACTAATTATTTTAATATGATTTCGAAAACGGTGCAAAACTGTCCAGTTTTACTTTGTTTCAAAGATTCATTATTTTCTAAGTAAAAACGTGGGAATCTTGATTTGAGGTCCTCTGGAGATAGAATCTAAACATTCTGAGCTTTCAAATGTGGTATGATAGACTTTGATGGGATACCAAATGATGGGGTAAGTGAGGCCAAGTTCATGAACGAGCTTGTAATCGGCAAACGATGCTAGAAAGAATTGATTATTATGTTGTTGTCTGTGTGACATTGAAAAAGATTGATTGTTGTGAGTGATCTGTGCACTGTCTGAGTTGATTATACGAGTGGCTTGCTGGGTTATTGAATGCCGTCGGTTTATGGACCGACGATGCCCCGAGGAGCCGTAGGGAAAGCGAGATGCCGTGGTCAGTGGACTACGATGCCTAGGAGGATTCTGCCCTAGATGCCTCGGGAGTTTGATCGGGATGTCGTGGTCAGTGGATCACAAAGCCTGCATTGGCTGTTGAGAATTCTGGCGTACATTGTGGCAGATTGGAGTGCGCACCAAACCCTACTAGATGGGAGTTTTCCTCCTTACGTGTCCAACGAGCGCATCGGGCATGTGACTTGGAGTGAGATAACGATACCCAAGCAAGCGTGAAATTGTGTGTGCATATTTGAATCATGCCGTTGATTGTGATTGCTGAGTTAAAGTATCACACTTGAGATGGTTACTAATGTGGAACAATAAAGTATGTTTTGTTTGATTAGTAAGTCCAAATAGAAAATTGTCATACCTATGTCTATTGATATGCATGTTATTCTTGTTTGGTATAGGGTGATAGATATTTCCTTGTTGAGCTATGGCTCACTCTTGTTGTTGACAAACTTTTACAGATTAAGCATGAGTCTCCCACCGCCAGTGACCCCGGGTACTTTCTTCAGAGCCCCTGATAAGTTCAAGGGCCGCCTCACTCCTTTCACCGACCTTGACTTTCCGATGATCAGGTTGGTGCACTACGATGTTACCCTTTCGATGGATGTGGGTCTGTCTAGGCACCGGGTGCCTCTACACTTCGTCTCGATATTTATGAACATGGATGGTAGCTTGGTGGGGCCAATCAGATACCCGGTGGGTGGCAGCGGTGGTGGCGGTGCTGATGGCGGGGTAGAGAGAGTGGGGTAGGCGAGAAAGAAAGCAGGAGTAAGGGAACCATTTTTAGACGACACTACTTGGTACTTTTTGGGAGATAGTGTCAGATGTAAGGTGATACCTTTTGGATGATATCAATATGCGAGACTATATAGATGGACCCAATAGGGGTGACTTGTAGTGATAGTCTCCCCAAGAAGGGATCTTCTCACTTGTATATCACCAGTGTTGATAAATAAAGAAACAGTTCAGTTCGGTACTAGTGTTGTCTTTTATAATGTCAGGCTTGCCTTATTAATAATTCATATTATAAATACTAGCCTTAAAAGAAATTGCTTCCGCATGCGAATAAATTTATAAATGGTAAGAATAATTAGGAATACCTAGAGTGGGGCGTGCCTAGGACGCTACAAATTCTCACATCTAGAACCAATCATTTTATTGTAAAAATTAGAGGGCAGAGCTTTAGGGAATAATTTCACCATCTCCTTATCGACTAAGGGGATCGTACTTGTGCAGCAGGTGCGCCATCTTTGGGCAAAACATCTAAAAGATTCACTCCTCTTCTTCTCTATCCAAGCCAGCATGTCACGCGTAGGAGCAATTTCAGTGTTATACTTATATTGAAGTACGAATGCTTCAGAGACCTCCCCCTATTTCTCCAATTTCTCAGGCTCAAGTAAAATGTAACATTGTAAAACAGGCCTAGATAAGCTCCCTTGGAAGATTTGGATTAGTAAGACAGTATTCTGCGCATATCGCCCATTCTATTTATATAATACTTCAAGTGGATCTTAGGATCTCCAGTCCCATCATATTTGGTGAATTCTGGAACCTTGAACTTATCGGGGAAGTTCATCCCGGCATAGCGAGAGAAGTCTTCAATTTTGTTTGCCTCATACCCCTGCATGACTCTAAGATTTTCTTCTAGCTTGGCAAACCTCTTGTTATTTTCCTCCTCCATTCGAGTTGAAATAGCTTCCGAAATGAGATCCAGTTCAACCATAACAAGTGTTGGGTTTGGCACTTCCTCAGTAACATTTCCTCTAGGGTTTCCATTGATGGGCTCAAGTGTAGCTCTAGGGGTATCCTGATTGGAATTCGAAACAACTAAGCTTGCTCTTATCTCATTAGCGAACTGAGCAAATTGAGCAACTAGCTCGATAATTCTATTTTCAATAGCAGCAAAGCGGGCGTTCTGTTCTTCATTGCTCATTTGTGATGATTTAGATCAAGTCCAGTTAGGCGATCGTCTTGAAACAGTAATGTCAGTACTTGGTAGCAAAGAACCGACATGAATATTCATAAAGAAAATAGATGTAATCCTTTTGATGACATCTTCCCCCACAATAAAATAAAGACAAGATGATCCTTCTAAAAGCCTAGTCTTATAGAATTAAACCCTTGTCTTGATTCTTTTGTAAGAGAATATATCTTCGAAAAGGAATAATCCATGGTGATCAATTCATCATTTGATCCATTGAAAAAATTAACAAATATTTTCCATTGATTCAAAATACGAATGGTCCATAATATTTCATTACAAATTAAAATAGTACAAAAAATATAAAGCATCCACTAATAGATAGTCTAAATCTAATGAAAGTACGGCTAGTCAAGGCGAAGCCGCTTGTTCACTAGGGTTGAACTAGCGGCTTCAATATTATCCCGATCTCTCGTCTGCTACTCTTCTTCTCCTTGGGAACACTGGTGATCTAGCTCTTCAGGTACATAAGGAATGCTGCCTTCACAAATAGGATCCATGGGTCGGTGTATATAATCTAAAGACGCGCGATGGACCTCCATCTTTCCTTCTAGGTCAATGGGCCAAACAACCGCTTGCTTTGGGCAATTCTTACGAGCATATGTAATATGATTGATCTTCTCTTGCAAATGAGTGATTAGACCTTCTCCAAGATCTTTGTGTGGGAGATCAAATTTGAATAAATCCGACCTAAGGGGTGGTGGGATCTCTTGCAAGGCACTAAACTGTCGAACCACCCTCAACAGATAATATGCCGTAACTCCAATGAGTCCCGATAAAGGAATGGGACAATCAAAATCATAAGCAATGCACACTTCACGAAACTTAGCCCAACCTAATCGACATCGGATTTGTGTAGGGGTAATATTTTTTAGAAGATGTGTCCATCAATGAAAGTTTTTTTTCAGGAATACGATCTTGCAAATGAAGTAATCTTTCAAAAGGGTGAGTATGTTGAGTTATTTCGAGCATCCTCATATGAAAACCTAAATCCTTAAAATGGAAAATGAACCACATATACAATAACCCTACAGGCGCTTAAAGGACTCATTTTCCATTGATTTTAAAGCGGCTGAGTGATATGAAGGTTTCAGCTAGGATCGTGTTGGTGAAATTCCATCTAATGCAAACTTGTCGAACCACATGTGCAATCAAAGGGTCCACAGCTGTCCTAGAGATAGGAAAGACAACGAAGCCAAAGAATGCTAGAATAAATGCCCTAGCAGAACGAAAGCTTGATTCTCTAGGAAGATTTGAGAATTTTTATACCAAGTACGACAACGGACAACGATTGGCATTGATTTTCAGGATATTCTCAATTTCGATTTTTTTAATTTCCAAAGACTTGGCCAGAACACTCGCCGGTTTTAGACCTACAAGTGGTCTATTAATCTAGCAAGGGATTGGAATCCAATGGCGACTTCGTATTCTTCGATTGTTGGAACCAATTCTTGTTTGGCGAAGATGAATGTAGAAGTGATCGTGTTCCAAAAATGTGCCATAGCTTGTGTGAGGCTGACTTGATACTTGACTTCAAGGAGATTCACAAGATTACCCTTCCTTTCTTCTATGTAATTCTGATTTCCTTGGTTCATCCTATTCCACCATGCCTAGAGAGCGTCCTCGGGAACAGGAATGATCCAATTTTCCCATTAAATCTAGACCATGAAGGGATACTTTAATTAATTACCATGGATTACAAAAGTAAATTGCGAAAATATAATGAAAGGAACTGCAAGAATTTAAAAGAAAAGGGTAAGCAATATACTCACAATGATTTGGCGAGACGAATTTTCAACTACAGAGACACACAGAAGTACTTGTGAGGTTTTGACACCAAAATGTAGGGTGTACTATGCTCCCATCTCAACGAAATAGTAAGTCATTTCCCATATCGCAAATTGCGGGTGGGTCGGACTTAATTCTTTCGAGGAAATGAGCGGGATTGAGAATGATTGTCCCATTGGCGCAAACTGCGTATGGTCCAATCAATTCTCAACACCTCCTAAGGGTTTCCTAAGGATGCAGTCGGGATTTAACCGCGGGTTGTGTGTGTAAAGAGTGTAGTGCTAAAACAAGTATAAAGGCATACACATCATTTTACATCAAGACAACACTTCTATTTCATTCACATACATATACAGTCCTTACTCCAACCTACAAAACAAATGAGTTAACAAACGCTCAACTCCTTATAACTCCTCACCTACAATAACGTTTAACACAAAGTTAGTGTACTTACCTCAATCTTTACGATGTGCTGCCATAAAACCACATTAGTTAACAAACAATCGATTTTATTAGGCCTAAGTCTTTACGATCCCCAGTGGAGCCGCCAATCTGTCACGAACTACTTCTCGAGGGCCAGCTCGGGGAGTATAGGTTTAGAGGTATTTTGGGACTCTCCCTAAATCCATACCTTGCGTGACGTTAATTGTTTAAATTTACATGTTCAATTTGGAGTCGCTACTAGCCACGATTAAGGGTCGGCTAGAAACCCTAATCGAAATGTGGGAGTGTCATCTTGGAAACATATGCAACCAAAGATTCTTAGGGATTGGGGACTTGATTACACTAGTTTTTTCAACTAATACCCTTTTAGTATCTAAACTTGACTACTTGTTAATCAACATGTCAGGACAAATTTTTACAAATCGAGAATTTTAAATTTCATCCTAACCATTCTAAAAAGAATAACAAGCAATGTATTTAAAGTGCACAATCAAATGACATCGGAATGAAATTGCACAAACAGCAACCTAGAATCGTCTATAAAAGAAAAGGCAATCAAAAAATTTCTAAAGTAAAGCCCTAAAGACTTATTCAATTTTGGGATCAAATTTTTTTGTTCAAGGTTAAAGTATTTATTAAAAACCCTAAACTAAGAGAATTCTACATTTTTTAGCTTCTCCCATATTTTTTCATTTTTCTGAATTTTCCGAGTTTTTATTATTATTATTATTATTATTATTATTATTATTATTTTGGGAAAATAGATTGCGGACCGGGTCAGGGGAACCCAGTCCGATTCCCTGGTCTGACCAGGACCCAGAAGGTCTGGGTTAGGTAAACTCGACCAAGCTCTTGGGCTTGGTTTGAATAAAGTCCAAATTCTCAGATTTCAATTTTTTATTCATTTAAGCCCATATTAACTACTCAGCCCAATCACCCTCATTAAATTCATTTATTCGGCCCAGCCCATCAGTTCTACCGCTCCGACCCAGACCTGTACTCGACCCGGTCTATGTTTTCCATTTCCTTTTTTCTGTTTTCTTTTTTGTTAATTCTCTTTCGTTTCGTTTTGGTCTTCTTCCCCGATGACCCCTTTTCTTCACGCCCTCATCTTTGCCGAGAATAGCTATTTACCGCCTTCACCGAGAACACTTCTTCCTGCGAACTTCATAGCACCGTCGACCTCAACCTTCAATCGTCGACGCCAATAACCACTGCCAGCCAATAACCACTGGCCACTAGTTGGCGATCTAACTCCAACAAGAAATTCTTAAACTCAAAAATCACATAAACCGAAACTTGATTGATTCTAGCACGTAGAACACATATATGCAAATCAAATCGTGAGAGATGGACTAACTGAAGTGGCCTCTAACCGCGGGCAATGCTCCGACGAAAGGGGGATGAATCTCCATTGAAGGTTCCATTAATGGCTGACTTGGACAAACGGTGAATATGCCACCAAAATCAAAGAAATCATTGAGAAAACACAAAGTGAGACATAGTTCGATGATTATGAGAACAAGGTACAAGTCGATTTTAAGTTTAATCACGAGCTTAAACTCAACCATCTCTTTGGCATTTCATCAAACATGTAATATGCAGGTTAGAATATAGGCTTCCGATTCGGATTCTATTCAATTCTCGGCCTAGATAGGGTATATTAGCCTCCAAATCAGCATTACTAATCATGAAATAGCTTTGGTTTCGCACAATTAAGCCACAAATTAGTCGGTTGAACTCAGTATCCTCAGCTTTAGTAAGGCAAGAGAAAATGGTCTACGAAGAAGGAGACTCACCTGATTCGTGAGAAGAGTTGAAATCGTAGAAACCAATGCCGATGAAGATCAATAATATTGCAGCAAAATCGCAGTTCTTCATTCTTGGCGATAATGAACAACTCTCGGCCGATATCTCCTCTGTTTGGCCATGAAGAAACATAGCGACCAGCCATTGAAAGCAGAGGTAAGGAACTCAACTATGACAAACAATTTGAGACCTTCGAGGACAGTGAACAGAAAAAATCGGGGAAGAGATTTGCCTGGCCGTCTAAGGGGTGTTTGGTTCAGCTTTCGGAAGGGACTTTGAGCCTCGAAAGCCCCTTCCCAAAATGCTGAGGTGTTTGGCCTAGCATTTGGCCAATGCTAGCATTCCAAATGCTGAAAGCCCAAGGCTGGTCCGGACCAGCCTTGGGCTTTCAGCCTTTGCCAAATGCTACTGTTCATGTGTCACTGTTCATCTTCTTCGGCAAGGGAGGGCGACCGGCACTTGGATCACGCCGGTGAGAGGCCGGCGAGGTCGCACGACCCAGGCGACGGCCGCCAGAGGTCGCACGACCGCCCAGGCGCCGCCGGCCTGGGTCGCGCCGCCTGGGTCGCGCAACCTCAGGCGGCCGTCGCCAGGGTCGTGCGACCCTCACCGAGGGTCGCCTGGCCTCAGGCGACCGCCGCCGGCGGCAGATCTGGCTCCGGCGATGGGTAGGTTAGTTTTTTTTTTTTAATAAATAAGATAATTCTCAAAGTCCATTTGCAAAAAAAATTCACTAAACACTATATTTTGGCCAAAGCAGCTTTACAAAATATTTTTATCAAACACCATTTGCATTTCCCCAATGAGCTTTCACCTAAAGGTATTTGCATTCTTCCAAGTAGCATTTTCAAAATTGAACCAAACAGGCCCTAAAGACGACGGAACGCTTTCCTCAAAACCCTTTTTCTCCTCCTTTCGATTGGCTCCCCCTGCCCGCCAACTCTTGTTCTCTTGGTTTGTTATCTCCTCCAGCTCGCAGAATTTTTTTCTGTTATTTCTCAAATGATCGGCCAGCTCATTAGGTTCTAGAACATCCTCTAGCTTGGATTTGCTCCCGTCACCTCTTGTGAGCCTCACGGACGTTGTTCATCATCGTTGTCGCCCTATTTATTTACATGTCTACGCTTCTTATTATTGCGCTATTTTTTTTCACTACTTATTATATTTTCTATTCGTTATTTATTTAACGAAAAATGAGGTGTCAATAACCCCAAACTGATACACCTGTGACAAATTTACCCTAAACTAATTATTTTACCACGAAAAACTCCAAACTGGTATACTTATGACACATTTACCCTAAACTAATTTTTTTATCACAAAAAACCTTAAACTGGTACATTTGTGATAAATTTACCCAATGTTAAATTAAATTAATACATCGAAAAATTATAAACCGGTACACCTATGACAAACGAAAGGCAAAACCCCAAACTAGTACATCCATAAATCGTTACGTATCATTCAACTCAGAAATTTGACGGAAAAATTTAACGGAAACTAACGAAGGGTAAAATTGTCACAGATGTATCAGTTTGAATTTTTGGTGGTCAAAAAATTAGTTTGGGGTAAATTTGTCACAGGTATGCGAGTTTGGGGTTTTCCGTGGTATTAACTGTCACGCCCCGTACCCCATTGGAACGCAACATCTCGTCACGGTCGATTTTGGTGCAATGCTCCCAGGAAGCATCGCCAACCCAACGCTCAATCAGAGATCAAACACATGCAGAAGCACGTATATAAATATATATATACACCCTGACAATAAAACACATGAGACCAAGGTAGTACATTAAGTAAACAGCACCTCTGAAAATATGTATACTAGTATTACCATAGGAAACTTTTTACAAAATTCATTTATACAACGGCCGAGAAAACACACAGTCAGCAGCCATTCAGTAAAAAGGGGTCAGCGTATATCACTTCGGGCTCCTCAGCTTCCTCGACCATGGCTGCAGGTCCATCCCCACAAGGGTGCACACTAGATGACCGCTGGATGAATTGCGGTATACCAAAAAGAGGCGCTCTCCTCAGCATCCTACGGCTGGGGGTCTAAAATGTTTCGGTTTACACAACCGTGAGACGAATCTCAGTGAGTTCAACCCCTAAACCTAGGCTAGGCTAGCATGCAATCTCCTGACCGGAAAATAAATATGTGAAACCATAGTGCAACAACAATTAAATAATCCTCCGACCCTGCAGGTTAGGCAGTTCAATATATAATAACCACGGCATGTACGTGGCACATATTATCACGCGTACGCCAATCACATGCTCATGCACCGAGGCTCACACACTCGCATGCCAGTCCATGCATGTTCATGCATGCAAATGTCGTCGACATGTCACGTGTATTTCCCCGGCCCACTGGCCCACACTGGCACACTGGCAATCGCCCAATTTATTATTTATTACGACTCGAGTCAACAACATTCACGGCCCGGTGCGTCTAGCCTGCTTCAAAGTGCATGAGGCGCGGCAACCGATCTGGCCCAGTGTCTCTAGCCTGCTTCAAATTGTATGAGGCGCAACACTGTTCTCCTTGCGAACCAGAGCCTGCTTCAAAGTGCATGAGGATGGTCGCCTTCCGGACGTACCGGGCATCGTCCTGCTTCAAAGTGCATGAGGCGCAACACTGTTCTCCTTGCGAACCAGAGCCTGCTTCAAAGTGCATGAGGATGGTCGCCTTCCGGACGTACCGGGCATCGTCCTGCTTCAAAGTGCATGAGGACGGTATCGACCCGAAGGTCATGACCCAAAGGTCCTTAGGTGATCACACAACTCATTATTATCTGAACCCAGCGTATAACGCTTCAGGGTATTTTAGGTGATCACATGCTCATGGCAGACACGCATTCTCGCGCAAGTTCATCACATGCCTCACTCTTGGCATACGCAATGCGTGTCCATGTTATGCAATGCAATGCACCACGAGCACCAATATAATTCAGACACCCAATGTCACAACACGTGCTTAATTGGCCCAATTAATACCGTGTGGCCTAACGTGCGATTCACAAATCAGTAAATCATTGTAAACCAAACAATGGCCAATCGCACTCCATAAAATCAGCCACACCACATACGACATAGCAGTACGAAATCAACCACAATTAAGCACAATTGACGTACAATCAGTCAACTCGGACATACCTGGTAATTTTCCAACGGGCTCCTAAATTGGTCATTTAATCCAATTAATCTCCCCAAATAATTCTCATTAATCCACTAAATTTCCAAATGATAATTTCTACCAATCCGTCCTCAACCCATCCAAATACACACCGATACTATCTAAGCCACCCAAATTGTACCGATAATACCTAAACCAGTCCGTAAAACGCACTAACAAATCCTAATCCGGGTTTAGGAATTTTACTCACTTAATTTCTCGACCACAGCGACGGGCAACGGCGGCCGATCACTGATGAACAGTGAAATCGGCGACGGAATTCTCGAAGCGCGTACTGTTCACGCGGCACTGTTAACAGTGTACTGTTCACACGGTATGGGGACTTGTACGGACGGGCAGAAAACGGTGGCCGGCGAAGTGGCGGTGACGGCACGGCGGCCGTACGGTCCGGCGTGAACAGTGATCCGTACGGACGCGATGAACAGTACCGTACGGACACCGTACGGACAGGCTGGATGGCAACGTACGAGCGGGCTGGACGGCTGGGTGGCAACGGAACGGCGATCAGAGCTCCGGCGAAGCTCCGGCGAGGCTCGGACGCGACGGCGGTGCTTTACCGGGAGAGAAAAAGAGAGAGAAAGAGAGGGAAAGGGAGAGAGAAAGGGCTGGACAGAGGCGGGAGTGGCTGGTGGTGGTGCTGGCTCGGCGGGGGCAGCTCCGGCTGGTACTGTTCCGGCGTGAACAGTACCAGAAAATGCAGAAACGTGCCCACGGTAGAGAATACGTTGAGGAAGAAGAGGAAAAAAAAATTGGGAAATGGCCAAATGGGTTTGTACGAGAGAGAGAGAGAAATATAGTCTGGTCAAAGCTGGTCTAACATGGAATTAGTGGATTCCAAGTGTCATTAATCTATAGCATTGGACACTTTTGCCCCTAATCCAATGGCCCAAATTTGATCCGATCCAATCCAATAATGTAGGGGTAAAATGGTCATTTGTCCTTAACCATGGTTGACCAGACCTGAGTTAAGCCTAACTAATCTTGGTTAACCCCCAAAAATTAACTAAATTTCGGAATTAGTGAAAAATGGCCTAGGGGCATTTTCGTAATTTTCCGATCCCGAACCGAAATTTCAATTTTCGCACATACGTGTTCCATATGTGCGTGGTCAACATAATATGGCGTCGGAATCGCGAACTTCACTTTTTAAGTCCTCGAAAACTGACTGCAAAGTTTCGGGAATAAAATAATATTATTTTTCCAATTTTTGTCGAAATTCCAATTTTTGGCCAAAACCACTCTAAATGTGCGTGGCCACCCCAAAATAACCTTGGCCGCGAAAAATAACCTCAAACGGCCTCCGAATCTAGCCTCGGTGCCCACAGGGGCAAAACCGTAATTTTTCACCCCCTGACCGAAATTCCACTTTTTACTCGTACTAACTCCAAACGTGTGTGGCCAGCGTAATATGACATCGGATTCCCAAAAATAGTCTCTTAAGCCTTCGAAAATCGACATCGAAATCCGGGCCCAATTTCATGATCAAAACTCGCTCGAGTTTCAATTTCAGGGTCTCTGGCTAACGGGCGGCTGTTTAGGACATACGCGTATCGACCTAGGGTTATTCAAATTACGACGGTCCCGATCATTGAGAGAATGAGAAATTATCATTAGTTCCAAAGATCACGATCGTTCGGTTCAGGTTCAGGACTGGTTGGCCACGTGCACTTTCGGTCTTGCAGAATCACCTGCGATCCGATTGTACATCGTTGGCCTTGGCCAAACCAAATCCATCATCTTTCCTAAGACCGGCCCACGTTGGCCCAAAATATTCACTCATCGTATCTCGAGATCGGTGTCCCGTTCACTGTCGAGTCCCTAGTCCACGTACCGTTTCCTAGTTAACCATACCCCATTGGTTAGTATCCCGAGAGTGATCAGCTCTAGGCGAGACTTACTAAAATGAAATGCGAAATATTGTCAATTTTATTGATCCCGGAATTACGTCAAAATTCGGGTTGTTACATTAACCCTTTTTAAAAAGTTAAGGAACCTAAGTTGTAAGTTTTAAAAAGTTGATGAATCTAAG